GTTGCCTGGATATGTGATGGTCTCCATTTTCTTGCTAAGAAATCATTGTTATGATAGTAACATTGGGGAATACTCACAGATTCTTCTTCTGTGCCTGCTTTTTGATTCAATTGCTTCAGTTTTTAACCTTTCTGTTGTAACTCAGTTAATTTCTCTGGACTAAAGATATCCACTTTGTCCTTCACCTGTTCTTGCTCTTTCTAAACCATTCAATCAAACATAGTTTCCGTTAATTATACTTCAACTTCTTTATCGTTGATTCATTGATTTCTCCTCCTATTTCAACTGATGGCTTTGTAACCTCATTATCATACAGTCAGCAAAAATCCCAGGATATAGTTCCGGTAATACCTCAGTTGCCTGATTTCCCACTGGTTTTTCAACCACAGTTGGCAGCACTCCTACCTGTGATCCAGCAATAATGTTACCAAGGACAAATTGTGGTTCCTCCAGTCCTCCTACCACCACTCTTCCACTTTTCACCAGACACTCCAACCTCACTTTACATAATGGAGCACTTCTCGTCTCACCATGAATTCCACATATTCCTACTTTTTATGGCAATAGTCCTTCTGAATTACATATCTCCTCATCTCTCAGGAACAAAGATTGACATGATCCCGTATCTCTTAATGCTGTAATTTCTTTACCTGCTGCTCCTGGCCTATGCGAGTAAACCTTACCTTCGCAAGTAAATAGTTTAAGAAGATCTGGCGCTTCCTTCTCAACCAACTTCTGACCAGGTTGTAGATTCTGGTGAGGCCTTTTAGCCTCCACTGTGCTTTCCTTTAGCACTTTAACAAAATTCACTGGCTTATCCTGTTTTCCTACATCCGTCTTGCCAGTGCTTTTTCTAAACCAACAACACAGTGATTTCACGTGGCCTACTTTATTGCCGTGGAAACACCTGAGCTTTTTAACTTCTCATTCCCCCTCATGGGTTTCCTTTTTACCCTGTGGTAAGCTACCTTTAGTATCTTTAATGAGATCTACTTTTCCTCTACCGCCTGAAAATTTCTCTTTTCCTCAATTTCTATCACTCACGCTTTGTTTGATCCTTTCAAACTCAATGTATATATGACCAGGACCCCTCCTTAGATTCCTGGAACGTCTGCAGGCTCCTATATCCTTCTCAACAAACTTAGGCAATGTTTGGACATGTTTAACCAGATCCCCACCAGCCCTTTGGCTATGATAGGTTTGCTCATCCTCACTACCCTTCTCACTAAGCCTGCCTTCTACCTTCACCTCCAATCTTTTAAGTCAACCTTCCTGTCTAATTGCCAACTTCTGAAGTTCAAACTCTCGCTGTTTCTCCCTTTCTTCTGCTAGGGCCTCCCTCTCCTTTTCTTTTTGTTCTCCCAGGCTGATTCTTTCCATTTCTCTTTCCTCTGCTTTTAACTGCAATTCAAACTGTTTCGGTTCCCTTCATTTGCAATTGAATTCTAGCCATTTCCAAAGATTCTGATTACATTTCCGGCAAATTTAAATGTCGAATTGTTGCTGTAATCACCTCTCCTTTTCTCACAGACAGAGGCAACCCCAACTCCAGCTTGTCTGCCAATTTCAACAGCTTTCCCTTGCAAAATAAAAGGGTGTTCGCGTTCATTTTTGTCTGAAGGTAATGATACATCAATTCATCAATAGTGTCAAGTCCTGATTTCCCAGATTAAGTTTAATGACAAAAAGCCAATCAATCTTCTTCCAGAAGCTTGGTCTATTTTAGTTTAATAATAACATTAATATTCATCCAAGTTAATTTCAGAAAATTATATTCAATGATGAAATAGGAAATATTCCAAAACAATGTGACCTTAAATTGTATTGAATTTAATCTTAAACACAGACTTCAGTATTCTGCCTTCAGCCTGAAGGTACATTTTATCTGCCTAAACCATTGTAAAATGAGAAACCATTTTTTTCCAAATTTTTCCGCTTGAGAAATCTTTTTCCCAGAATTAAATTTTCTCATACAAGGGGCTTGCATATAAGGTGAGAGGGGGGCAAGTTCAAAGGAGCTGTGAGGGTCATGCCTGTGATAGGCATCTGGAACGCGCTGCCAGAAGAATGGAGGGGTATGGACCAAGAGCAGGCAGAAGGGATTAGTTTAATTTGGCATCATGTTTGGCACAACGTCGTATGCCAAAGGACCCGTTCCTGTGCCGTACTGTTCTATGTTCTATGTAAAAATGCCTAAACTCTCTTTTCTTTCCTACGGCACTCTTCCTTCAAACTAAAACCTTGGTGTGCCATTGTTTTTCGTGCTACAGTCACGTTTTTATCTGCAGTGCTGGAAAATGATCAGTAATGTTTACCTCTGGGGGAGGCGATGGCCTAGTGGTATTATTGCTGGTCTGTTAATCCAGAGACCCAGATAATGTTCTGGGGACTCAAGTTTGAATCCTGCCACAGCATATGGTGGAATTGAATTCAATAAAATATCTGGAATTAAGAATCTAATAATGACTGTAAATCCATTGTTAATTGTCAGGAAAAACCCATCTGGTTCACTAATGTACTTTAGAGAAGGAAACTGCCATCCTCACCTGGTCTGGCCTACCTGTGACTCCAGACCCACAGCAATGTGGTTGACTCTTAACTGCCCTCTAGGCAATTAGGGATGGGCAATAAATACTGCCTGGCCAGCCATGCCCTCATCCCATGAATGAATAAAGAAAAAAGCAATGCAGAAGATGACTGCACATGGCAATATTAAACTGAATGTGTTTAATAAGAATGAAGAAGATGTTCCTTCACATAAGATTAGCTGTCAGGAGATTAGGAATGTCTGTATGCCATAAACTGGTAAGGCAGCTGTGATTCCTCTGCAGTCAGTTCTGAATGATTACATGCTGGAACCATACCTGAGGCATCATGATGCACAGCTCAGCTGTCAATGTTGTACACATTTGACATGTCTTTTGTGCTCATAAAATAATATAATATTCTATGTTTACAGGACAATCTACTTCACACACAAGGGAAAACAGGAACTGCTTGTTGTGTGTCTATATGACCATCCTCGTGACTATGGACGAAGAACAGCAAGTCTTGGAGTCAGAGGTGATGATCATTAATACTGAGATGGGCATGGAGCCTTCAAAGAAATGCGAAGAAAGCAACATTAAACATAGTGCTCGTGTGCACCAAAGCACACTTTGAGCTCCAACCATGGAGTCAGAATAAATCATTGTTCACTATTTACTCCTGACTCTTGCAAGTCGTGAACAAGAACAACCAGATCACAAAGCTTTGCAAAATTGGAACAGTTTGTTCAGGATTTGAATGCATCCGGGACACTGGAGAGACAGAAATCAGATTCAGGATGGCAAAAGTGATGTTCTTATCATGTGAATTGAAAAAATATTTCTTTTGAGGTAACTCATTCCTGCATGACTGATTATGCACTGCTTCCACATTGTAAGCTGGTGTCCAGCAACTTCCATTGTGATGCCACCAGACCTAAGCAAAGAAGCAGGAGATCTGAAAATTACCTTTGAGCTATTTAAAGATTGGGCAGAGGGGATTTGAGTCGTTTTAATTTTATGCGAGTTAATTAAAGAACCGGGTAAGAACTTTCTTAAAAAAGAGAATACATCCTGGTAGCAAAGCTTTGTATTTAATAAGGAGGGAAACTGGGACTATCTTGTAGAATTGATTTTAGGATATAACATACAGTCTATGTTAGATGTCCCTATTTTCAAAGTTTAAATAATTTTGCCAATTACTCTCAATCGATAATCCACCCCATTTGATAACTATTTTCTGAATTTCCTCTGACTTCCAAAGTATTTGGAGGGATATACAAAACTCATTGATGTCTAAATAACATCATAGGAATTATAAATAGACTATAATTCTTTCTTTCAACATCATTCTCTGACTTGACGAATGCTTGTAAGTCTGTAGAATTTTAGAATGCTAATAAATTAAAAGTTTTCACCCCTTCTTCCCTCCATAAGAGGCTCACAGAATTGATCAGTCATCAAACAACTTGTAGTTAAAAAAAATCTGAATGTTATTGCTGTGTTCTGTTCTGGGTAGGTATGGTAAGCAAAATCACATGGTCAGACCAGTGCTGAGGACCCAGAAAGTAAATAGTGTAATGGATGGGATAGGGTGGCACTCTCTGTAGCTTGGAACACGGTGTTCATGTGTGCATGTCGGGTTAGGCAAGCCTCCAAGTGTTGAGTAGTTAGAATAGCAATCAGAAAGTGTACACACCGGCCATCATCTATGGAGCTATTGACAGTTCTGCCCAGCGTTGTATTACCCTGCTCACCATCTTCAGGAGACGAACAAGAGTAGTAAAATGATGAAACTATCTATCCATACATGATGAGGGGATACAGTTCTCGGGGTGAGCTACGAAACTTTCACTGCACCTTCCACCCAAGTGAATCCACTCACGTTGTTTGTTGTTTTCACAATAGGAGTGTAACAGTGTTAGAATCCAATGAGAGCAGCATAGACTGACTTGAGCAGTTTGAAAGGACCACGAAACCTATGGCCATTCCTTCAGAAAACTGTTGGAATTATGGGTAAATAGCCACATGAGAATGATGACATACCTCTAGAGGCATCATCACGGCTGCAAATGCCCTAACACCCGGTTCAGCACCAAGGGACTGTACATAGCTGTGTATCATGGTATAGGCCGTCCAGGTCATGTACTATTCCAGGAGTCTGTCTTGTGTCAGGAAATAAGAATATACAATTACTTTGATCCTTTTCAGTGACTCCCAATGATTACTCCTTTCTCACCCCACACAATTTGCATCCTTGAACTCATAGGAAAGGCATTAGGTGAAAGTAAACAAAATTCAGTAGTGCTAGAAACTAAATGAGAATAGTTCTTGATTTATTTTTTAATGCAGAGTTCCTTATTTGTTTTTAAATTGTCACATGAAATAGAATATCGAGTGAAAGAGATCTATGTGTGACATAAGATGGAAAAGGACATAGGACAATATAAATGTTATGTTAAATGATGCTACTTTTCATATTTTAAATACTTTAATGAAGAGGTTCATTGGATACTTCAACCCATTTTGTAACTCTGTTCTGAATTTACTCTGGGTGCCAGCATAAATAAAGGGGTTGATGCAGGAACTTAATAACTGAAGCATAAATCCAGTTTCTTGGATGATAAATGTAGAATTGCTGAAATTGGAAACTGAAGTGTAAATGACATTTGCAAATCGGACATATGGGATCCATATAAAACATAATAAATATAACAGGACAAAACTACCCGAGATAGTGAAGAGTAAGACAATGGACTTCCTCCGCTTTACCATCTCTCGATCACTCTGACTCTCTGCATTGCTCCGGAACCGGATTCTCTTGCGGGACCTATTGGCCGCTAGGATGTGGCTAACTGTCAGAGCATTGAGAAGTATAATCAGAATAAATGGAAGTAGAGGTGTCAAAATAAATGCAATCCAGTCATTTGCAGCCCATGCAGGTGACGTATAAACAATTATTTTTATGCTGCAGAACCAGGGTGTGTTATTAATCATGTACATCGGTTCATATTGAAAATACAAGAAGGCATTTTTTACACAGGCCACAGCAGAGATAATTGCTATGATCCATGCTGCCATCTTCTCAGTGCAATATGTTATTTTTAACTTGTGGCAAGAAATGGCCACAAATCGGTCAAATGTGAAAGCGACTGTTAACCAGGCAGTAGCGTCAAGGGCTGCATAATTTAAGGCAGAACGTAGACTGCACATTGGTGTGATAGATAGGAAACTGAATGGAAAATAAATTCCAGCAGTCCTGTTTAGTATTACAACTGTAACCACTACCAAGAGATCTGCCACCGCGATGGACACCAGATAACAATTGATGCATCTAGAGAGACCACATCTTCTTTTTGACAGGATCACAATCACCACCAAGTTAGCTGTAGTAGAGGGAAAAAGAAGGGGAGAGAGGATACGAAGCAAATCTGTTAGTAAGGCCACAGTGAATTCAGGCAAATGATTTCTTCTACCTGTAATTTAGTTATAGATGCAACAGAATTCTGGTGTAACTTCAATGTTTGAGGTTTAGTTATAAGCCTTAAATGATCCATTAGATTTGATTAAATTGGTTTTCCATTTTAAGTGTTCATTCATTTTATAAATGAGCTGGGCTAATTAGGTAGCAATGTAATGTAATGGGATCCCAAGGACAGAAAAGAAGAAATGGGCACATTTCAAATGGGAATAAAATAGTACAACAATGAAGTGGACATTAAATGAGATAAGTAACAAACTAATCATAAGTATTGAAATTAACAGGGAAACAGTCTATATCTGATAACCCAATCTAAATTGATACTTTCAATAATCAATTACACATTTCAAGCAATAGTCAACTGGCTCAAAAATTACAAGACATTTGTCAGTAGAGAGAGGACCTGGAAGATTAGTTTGTGGACATTGCCAAAGCAATTTTCTTTTTGTGGAATGCAATGGTGAGACTAGACTCTTCACATGACCATGCAACAGCATTTCATTGTCGAGTTATAGAGTCATTGAGGTCTATAAAACAAAAAAGGCCCCTCACCCATTGAGTTTGGACTAGTCATAAACAATCACATTTTCCAATACTTCACTCGCAGCCTTTTATGCCCTGGCATCACAAGTGTACATCTAAATACTTCTTATATGTTTATGAGACGTTCTGCCTCTACCACCGTGACAGGAAGTAAGATCCAAATTCCAACCACCAACCAAATGAATGAAAATATTCAGATCACTCTAAATCTCCTTCTTTTAAATCTATACCACCAACCCATCGGTCATTTATCTCTCCACCAAGGGGAAAAATTTCTTCCTACTTACCCTGTCTATGCCCTCATGATTTTACACATTTCAATCTTGTCCTTTAATTGAAGGAAAGCAACCCCATCTGTCCGATCTCTCTTCATAATTAAAACTCCAGCCCAGGCAGCATCCTAGTAAATCTTCTTTACACCTCTTTCAGTGTAATCACATCCCTCCTATAACATTGATTCCAGACTGCATACAATACTCTAGATGTGAACATACCAGTGTTTCATACAGTTCCAGCGTCACTCACCCCTTCCCCTGCCACAGTTAAATTGTATACCTTGTAGATATTGCAACTGAGTAAGTCAGATTAGGAGAATGTGTCTCATAAATTGCAGCACTTCATACGTATCATATTCCACTACAAGCACCAATGATCATGTTTCTCAGGTTGTGGATAATTGAAAATCAGAAGCTTCTACATTTGATGAAAATAAATATTGAGAGAGATTAAAATGTGTTGCTGGTGCAGATTATCTTCACTCCATGTGGTAATCATATTCATCATTCGAATGGTCTGAGGCTTTGCCAGCTGGTTAGAACAGAAGAAATTTCCTAATTCAGTGGTTGTGAATATAGAACAATGAGGAACAGTGAACCCAAAAGTGGACAGGCAGAATAAAGCAACTGAATGCTATATACTGATAAGAGAAACACCATGCTCTTTGAGTTTGGAACAATCGTGATCAATTGCACAAATGGCCACAGTTACATTCCTGAAATGCCTGCCAATAGGTGGCTGCCCAAGAACCTACTTCATGAAGTTCAGTAATTAAATGTAGGCGGGAATTAGTGAATGGTTTAGGTCTGCAAATCAATATTGATTGAAATATTCAATTGCAAACAAAATAGATAATGCAATAAATGTACATTATGAATGAAATGTGATAATTTATTCACACTTATCCTGGCTACAAGACAATAGACCTTGATTTGCACCAAGATAGAGGTGTGAGAATTCACTAGAGAATAAGTGTCAAATCCATAATCAAACAACACTTGCAATGTAATGACTACTTCAAAGTCATCCATCGATGTTTCCAAACTAAAATCTGGAACGCATTTAACACTGTGATAAATAAAACTTAATTTACCCACATTATTCTGCAAATAATGCATCAGAAATACATTGATGTTCTGCAGTGATACCAGTAACTAGGAGAAATTATATAATTAGGTGATAAAATGGAACCTGGCTAATGAATATTGTATACCATGAAGTTGACAAGTACTTGAGGTCACACGAAAAGCAATGCTGTAAAAAGGGGTGCATTTGTGGTATTGTCAGTAGAAAATTAATCCAGAGTTGCAGGTAATATTCTGGAGACACAGGTTCAGATCCCACCGTGGCAGATGGCCAAATAAGAATTTCATAAGGATCTGGAATTAAAAGTCAAATGAAACCACTGAACAATTGTCAGAAAGGAGAGTGAACAACACAGATGTCTGGTTCATTAATGTCCTTCAGGGAAGGAAAACTGCAGACATTACCTGGTCTGACCTCCACATAACTCCAGATCGAATGTAATATCATTGGCTCTTAAATGATTTTGCCCTGCAAGGTCTTTTTAAGCAAATTTAGTTGATAATTCAAATGTTGGAGTTCTGTCTCACGGACTATTCAGCAGTGGCTTTCCACAATCATAATCAAGGAACCATAACTTCTAGTCAACGTCTCAGACTGCACCAATATCCTTCCCTGGTTATGCACTGTTCTGCTGGCAAGGCAAGATACAGAAGAAGTAGTAGCATGGCAGTAAACAGTTAGGAGAGAGTTGCCCTGAGAGTCATCAACATTAATTGGAGACCCCGTGACATTTCAGTGCATCAGCTCTAACCCAGGCATTGAAATTTACTGCTGAAGAATACATCCATCCACCTTCCACCTGTTGGTTTTAGAATCAGTACTTCTCCATGCTGAGCACCACTTGGGCAGAGCACTGAGCATGGCAAGAGCACGGAATGTACTTTGGGTGAAGAACTTTGAGATCCATCACCAAGAGTGGATCGAAAGCATCCGAGCTGGTCGAGTCCTAAATGACATAGCTGTTTAACTGGGTGTGCAGCAAGTTGGGAAGGAACTAATGGGAGGGCGAAACATATTTGATCTCTCCTCACCAATCTGCCTGTTGCATATACATCTGACCATAACAGTGTGGGTAGGAATGACAATGGCACAGCGATTAAGTCTGGTCCTTATATTCAAAATGCCATCCACTGTACTAAGTTAGTGCCATCATTGTGCCAAAAGGGATGGACTCCAGATAGATCCACTATCTCAAGACTCTGCATTGAAGACGAGCGACCTAGACTAGCAAAGTAATGCTGTAGCTAGAATAGCACATAAGAGCTTTGGAATCATTCAACGAATAACCAACCTCCTGACTGTCCAAAAACCTATTCAACACTTACAAGTCACAGGTCAGGGGTGTTATGGAGGACTGACTATTAGCCCGGAAATGTGCAGCTCCAAAAACATTCAAGAAGCTTGGCACCATCCGCAAATAATGAAGATTCCGTGATAAGCACCAGATCCACAAACCGTCAGTATGTCTCCAACGAAAGTGCAGCATCAGCAGTGCGTACCAGCTACAAGATGCACTGCAGAAATTTACCGAGGTTCCTTAGACAGCTCCTTCCAAACCCACGACAAATACCAGGAAGGAGGATGAGGGAACACCACCACCCAGTTCTTCTGCAAGCCATTATATCAACTTTCCTTCATTGCTACTCTGTCAAAACCCCGGAACTCCCTTTCGCACATCATTGTGGACCTACCTATAGCAAATATGTTGCAGTGGTTCAAGAAGCCAGTTCGAACCCACCTTGTCAAGGGCAACTAACTATGGACATAAAATGTTTGCTCAGCCATGAATGAACTGTAAGACATATTTTGATAACGGGGAGAAGACAGAGCACTGATACCACTAACCTATGTCAACAAACTGAAGAAATCACAAAATAATAATTCATACCAAAAACGTTGAAAATAAAACTATCCTGTAAGAGGAGAAATAGTGAGAGAAATAGTGAGAGAATTAATTTGTCTGACCCGTTTTTCATGCAGCTACAAACTAACTACAATGATTTACCAGGAACTCCGATTGCTGCAAGGACAGGATAATAAACATTAAACACTGGACCTGTCAGTATTGCGTGCATCGCTATTAGAAGCTCTGATCGGCTCTGCATTTCACTGAAGGAAGATGATATTTATATGTGGTTCCGTGCTCCAGGGAGATAATTACTTTGTTCAATGTTTTACATTATTTTGATTGTAGCCAACAGTATTGCAGTTGTTGCTGAGATGATGTTCGTATTTTGGCAAAAATCACATGTTTCACCTGACTCTGATGTGAAATACACACAGACTGAAGAATGATCCCAGTCATATTTCTCTAGTTTAAAAAAAAATTACGGGTATAATTTCAGGCCAAAGTTTACCTCTGATTCTTTTCTCCCCACAGAAAATGCAGTCAACTTGTCACTCCATATCAATATTCGGTCAGGGTCAAGACGTCACACGACGCCAGGTTATAGTCCAACAAGTTTATTTCAAAACACAAGCTTTCGCAGCGCTGCTCCTTCGTCCAGTGGAGTGTGACGATCCGACGAAGGAGCAGCGCTGACGAAAGCTTGTGATTTCAAATAAACCTGTTGGACTACAACCTGGTGTCTTGTGACTTCTGACCTTGTCCACCCCAAGTCCAACACTGCACCACCGCTTCATGGCCATTATTCGTTCAGGGTAAGCATTACTCACGTGCGAGGGGATTTGAACCTGTTTCACACGGTGCAGTCTGATTAATTATATTCCGTGTGGACATTCCAGTGAAGCTTTGTAATCTTTGTTGTGCCCAGGTCCATTTCTTCCCAAGTACCTCAGAGCGAACTTAGTCAGGTCGTTGCCATTTTGAGACCAGCGGCACCCTCAGGTCAACGCGAGCGGTTCCTGTAAAGGATTGCTTGTGTGCAGTGTGTGAAGAGGTCCAGCTTAGAACAGTTCTGTTCGGTGTCAAAATGTTCTGTTTAACATCTGTATATTCAGTAAAAAAAAAACTGGTAGAGTTCAGCGTAGAAATATTCCGTGTGTTTATTCCAAGATAAGATTAGTCCCATTCCTTTCGATACGGTCAAGATTCCCATACACCTGACCCGTCTAGCCTTCAGCATGGCTAAATATATAGTCAGGTCTTGTTTAATCGTAGTATGTACTGTATGGCCAAATCCAGGTCCAGTTCACAGCACTTTCATGCATCAGCGAGATTGAGCCCAACTTTGGTTACTTTCAGTGTGGATAGATTCGATCCAGTAAATCTGATGTTGCTTGTGAACTTCGGCAATCAGCACAGTTACACCTACAGTGGAAAAGGCAAGTTCACTATTGTCCAGAGACAGTAAGAACTGCCGATGCTGGAGTCAGAGATAGCACAGTGTGGAGCTGGAGGAACGCAGCAGGAACAGGCAGCATCAGAGGAGCAAGGAAGTTGACGTTTCGGGTCGGGACCCTTTTTTTTCTGAATTTCTGAAGACGTCAAATTTCCTGCTCCTCTGATGCTGCCTGTCCCTGCTGCGTTTCTCCAGCTCCACACTATGTTATCTCTGGTCCTCCAACCAATGTGTGGGAATGGGGGGCGGGGCTGGAGGTAACACAGTGTGGAGCTGGATGACCACAGCAGGCCAGGCAGCATCAGAGGAGCAGGAAAGCTGACGTTTCGGGCCAGGACCCCTTCTCGAAACGTCAGTTTTCCCGCTCCTCTCTGATGCTGTCTGGCCTTCGGTAATGTCTATTCCGTTTTTAACGCGCAGTTCGGGTCAATTACATTCAATGTAGTCTTAATCAGTTCAGAACGAGCACATTCAGCGGTGATCAATCTATCACAGAGCAGCTAAACGCCAGTGTACATGTCCGGTCCTGCTTACTTATTTTTCGAGTTGACAGGATTCGATTTAGTAGGATTATTTTCAACAGAATTTTTTGTTCCGTTCAATGCGGCTACTGTCATTTATGCATACAGACATTCCAATTAGAGCAGAAGTTCGCCACCCGGCTGGTCGAGCCTTCTCCAACATTTAGTAAATAATGGATGGTCTGATTATCCACATTTTCTTCAATCCCGATAAAACTCAACACTTCCGTGTCAGGAATATGTCTCTCTCTTTCTTTAACATATTCAAGAACACTGTTTTAACCATCTTATTCAGGAAGGTTTCAAAGAGTCATGACCGTTACAGAGAAAGGGAAACCTTCTTTATCTATGGGTTATCCAAGCATTTCTATCAGAATCTCAACTGAACAGCAGTTGATAGCATGATTTCACATCTTGTCCATCGTAAGAACTCCCTAATGCACTGCTGCTACTCTTCATGACGCAACCAAATCGCACTTTACAGAATAAAATGGGGAAGATTTCTCATTCAGTTGTGAGCAATAGTAGGTTGTAACTCTTTCCAAACTACCAATGGTCTGGTGATTTGAAATTTCAAAATGAGTTGATGGACTTGATCGTGATACATATGCTTCGCATTCTAACCATTACTCTGTTTAGTAATACACTGCAAAGTTACAAATGAAAAGTGTCTACTGATATTAACATTGACAAGTGGAGTTATATAATACCACCACAGTCTTTGCTGGCGAAATAATTTGAGATGTTCACAAGTCTTCCTCCCAAAGAAAGATAATGTCTGAATGACCTTATTGTCTTACCCATTGTTTTGCATTGCCGTGTCGAAGAGCCAGTTACTCTGCATGCGTCCTATCCAAACTTTCATTTCATTATTATTCTAATACTAGGGGCACGCATTTAAGATGAAGGAGGGAAGTTCAAAGGAGATGTGAGAGACAAGTTTTTTTTAATACAGGGAGTGGTAGGAGTCTGGAAAGCACTGCCAGGGGCAGTGGTGGAGGTAGATACGATAGGAAGTTTAAAGTATTTTTACATAAGCACATGAAAATGCAAGATATGGAGGGGTATGGACCCAGGGCAGGCAGAAGGGTTTAGTTTAATTTGGCGTCATGTTTGGCACAACATCGTGGGCCGGGGGGTCCGTTCCTGTGCTGTGCTGGTCTATGTTCTATTTAAAAATCTCAATAAATGCATGGTCAACTGACTGAACCAAAAGTATTGAAATGCAAGTCGGTATAAACTCACATGAAACGAGCCACTTTACTTGTCTAAATGCACTATAGTGCTTCCAAAGTCAGGGCATAATTTCCCCAGGAACGTCCCCAGAGAGAATACAAGGCTCAGCATTACAACTGAGTACATTTGATGTAGCTGAAATGCTCTTCCCTTCTTCGAGCAGTTTTCCTGTATCGTTTAAAAATCCAGTGAAAACCTAAGGCCCCAAATGCAGGTTCTGGGGAACGACACCAGTTAACTGCTGATAATTGGCGTACGCACAGATTATCCAGTAACGAACTGACGACAATCTATACATAGCCCGGTTTTAATTTGCATCGGGATCGATATAACGTTTGGTCTGGACAGACATAAAGAGGGCTATTGAATATCACCCGATTTCCATTATCCATATCCAAACTTCGACTATACTTATTTCGTTATTTTACTCAAAGTACAGAATACTCATAGCAGACGAGGTTTTTGTGCGGACTCTGTCGCTCCTTTCCACACTGTGAGTAAAGCACAAAAGTAGGTTCCGGTGTCTGTTAGATGTAAGCTCGATATTATCAGAGAGCTGCTTTTCTCTTCACTTCGACTGACAGCTCTAAATCTGCCATTATTCACCGTTTCGCTTCCCGTCGCCATGACCAACATTTTTGGGCTCTGATTCGGAGCTTGCACGAACCAGTATACCGCAGAGAATGAGATAGTTGCGTGACAGCGTATTGATACGGTCTTCCGTTCACTCGGAGTCTGAGATGGGAACGATTGCAAAACTACCTCTTCACCTGTAATATACAATGTGATCGGCGGATAAAGCAAAAACGAAACTCGCGACATTTTCCATTTATATCCCAGAAATACAGGAGCGTGTTTGTAACTTCCACCTTCTCAGACCTGCTCCAAATTTAATTCATTCACAGTTGATTTGCAGCTCACACCCACTCTGCAATATCCCGAGATGTATCTTTTCTTAGCTAAGATACAACTTTGCCAAAATGCAGAGATTAATAATCTTATAAAAGGGGCCAACAATTGGCAATTTAAAAACAATATTCACAAGTTGAGGGTGTCGCTGATTAGGCCAGCATGTATTGCCTATCCTTAATTGACCAGAGGGCACTTAAGAGTCAACCACATTGCTATGAGTCTGGAGTGGCATATATTCCAGACCAGGTAACGATGCCAGTTGCCTTCCCTAACGGATATTAATGAACCAGATGGGATTTTCCGATAATCGACAATGGATTCATGGTTATCATTAGACTCTTAATTCCAGACTTTAAAAAATATAATTCAAATTATTTTCAATATTTATCAGTATGAACTGATGTAAGTTCGTTTTTAAGTGTACAGAGATCACATGCTCCTTGAAAAATATCAATCTTAAGAGGGCAAAGAACAAAGGAATCTTAATGTATGGTTATGTGGAAAGTGACGATGCAGCTTATCAAGATCACTCTCAGCCAAACAAAGAACTCCGGATATATCTATTGGAAAGTAACTGAAAAGCAGGGCTCTTGTACTGAAGCGAGGATGTAAAACGTTGCAGCTTTGTAAACAGTTCTGCTTTCAATAAAGACACTGCTGTTTTTACTCAGAGATAGTAAGAACTGCCGATGCTGGAGTCAGAGATAACACAGTGTGGAGTTGGAGGAACACAGCAGCCCAGGCAGCATCAGAGAGGCAGGAAAGCTGACGTTTCGGGTCGGGACCCTGCTTCAGAAATCTCACATGACTTGAGTTTAGACGGAACCGAAATGTGCAACTGCATATGTCTCTCTTCTGGAGAAGGCTGAGAGTTTACAATGGAATGTCTTCTGATTACTGTACAGTTTCGTAAAATCAATACAAAGAAGGTGTTTCAAATTATGCGGGAGGCCTGAAGAGTTAGGGTAAATGCAAGATAGCTGAAGAAATTTGAGTGGGAAGTCCTGTTTAACATAATCAGCTCCGCAATTTCTCTTTTTAGATGATTTGCCTGTTTCTGTTCTGCACATCCTAAACCACTGTACATAACATCCCCGTTATTCCCGAATCAAAGGCACTTTAGTAGTGAGAGAGTCCACAATTCATCATCCTTTGCGTGCCTTTCTGCCCATAAATTAACATTCTATTCCCATTATTGTTTTGATGATTTGTGTTGCGCAAAAAACAAATGGATTGCTGGAGTGTGGTGCACAGAATTCAACAAGGTAGTAAAAATATTGCTCAAATGGCTCCACACAAGTAAGGTTTGACGTTCACTACTTCATAGAATCATAGAATCCCTACAGTGCAGAAAGAGGCTATTCGGCCCACTGAGTCTGCACCGACCCTCTGAAGAACATCCAACTCAGACACTCCCTATCCCTGCGATCCCGCACTTCCCATGGCTAATCCACCTCGCTTGCACATCCCTGGACACAGCGGACAATTTAACATGCCCAATCCACCTAATCTGCACATCTTTGGACGTATGTCCGCCCTCTTGATATAAAGACACACGCTTCATTTGTTATTTTGATTGCATTTTGTACCACTCTACTCTTATTGCGAGTTTATGCTTTTAGGCTTCTTCGTTTCTCTTCAGAAACATGGAAACATAGAAGATAGGAGCAGGATGAGGCCATTCGGCCCTTCGAGCCTGTTCCGCCATCCTTCACCATCATCGCTGATCGTCCAACTCAGTAGCCTAATCCTGCTTTCTCCCCATAACCTTTGATCCCATTCGCCCCAAGTGCTAAATCTAGTCGCCCCTTGAATACATTCAATGCTACGGCATCAACTACTTCCTGTGGTAATGGATTCCACAGGCTCACCGCTCTTTGGGTGAAGAAAAGTTTCTCATCTTCATCCTAAATCGTCTACCCCGAATCCTCGGCCTGTGACCCCTGGTTCCGGACACACCCACCATCGGGAACACCCTCCCTGCATCTACCCTCTCCAGTCCTGTTGGAATTTTATAAGTCTCCGTCAAACACCTTCTCATTTGTCTGAACTCCAACGAAAACAATCCTGATTGCCTTCACTTTTGCCCAGACTGCAGCTTCATTTGTTCATTTAAAAAAAATCTACTAACTTGATCCACGAATTTCCTCCCTACATCTTCACACTTGCTGTTCTCTTTAAATTAACGAAATAACATCGAATTCGATACACAACGCTTCTTACTCATTGAAAAGTATCATTACAAATATGATTATTCCAGCAGGAGGACTGAAGAAGGCGTATATTTGAACTATCAGTGACTATCAATTAACTATTAATTTAATTCACTTGTCTATTAATCTAAATACTTACATATCATGAATCTGACGGGAATAATAAATACTAATATCCATTTGAAATCCAATTGCATCTTTCGCATTAACACCCTGTACAAATTCAATTGAAGTGTTGCCGCAGAGTTAACAGAATAATTTAATCAGTATCAATAAAAGGGGAGAGCTGCTCCCCTGATTCGCTTGTTTATAACACCGGAAACAAAAGAAAAAGTCCAATTAGAGTTATAGAATCGGATCATGTGCCTCAGTATCCGCATTTGGAGAAAGGGAATAGTATTGCAAAAATAACCTAGCATTTTCGTTTACATTCCAGAGGTTAATGGTGATTGATCCAATGTCTATTTTAAAATCGAGGGCTAAAACAATATGTTGATGTAAAGCTGGAAAGCAAGCTGCACTAATAGCTTATGAGTATCTGCTTTCTGACCATTCGTAGAGAAAGACAAACTATTATCATTTAAAATTTAGTAAGGGCGTGGAATGCCCTGCCTGCAAAAATAGTAGACTCGCCCACTTTAAGGGCATTTAAATGGTCATTGGATAAACATATGGATGATAATGGAATAGTTTAGGTTAGATGGGCTTCAGATTGGTTTCACAGGTCGGCGCAACATCGAGGGCCGAAGGGCCTGTACTGCGCTGTAATGTTCTATGTTCTATGTTCTATGTAAAACATCGCCGAGTCTTCACAGGAAGCCGACTCCTAGTACATTTTCTTAAACGTATCTATTTTGAATGTTGTGGTTAATCTTCAACTTTTATGAGGTTTATCAGATATAAATTATAACATTATTGGTTGCGACTACAGTGTTAGGAACGTTGTCAAATTGAGATCTTGTCATCAGTAATCAACGTGACAATTGTAAGAGGTGCTAATAGTTTCTACTCTGAATGACAATCCACACAAAAGTAAAGGTCAAGATGTTCTTTTAAATGCTGATTCATGGGCGGTGTATTTAATGTTGAGGGAGATCCAGGCTGGAAGAACACAGCAGGCCAGGCAGCATCTGGAGGAAAGGAGCAGTTAATGTTTCGGGTATTACCCTTCTTCAGGACTGATAAGTTGACTCATTAAAACTGTGTTTGCAATAAGATTTTTTTTAAAAAAAAACGTTTTTTGATCAGTATGTGCGGAAACACATCAAACCAGATCGTACTTCTGGAGCATTTTTCTCTAGAACCGAAACAGTTTTCGACCGTTTTGAGCTCTTCAGCTCTGATGAAGAATCATCTAGACTCGAAAGTTAGCTTGCTTTCTCTCCATGGATGCTGCCTGACCCGTTGTTATCTCCAGCATTTTTGTTTTCAATACAGACTCCAGCATCTGCAGAAATTTGCTCCTATCCTTCTGAGCAGTTGGTTCACACAAACCCAGAGAATAGCGCCACTCATGGTCTGGAGTTGGATTTGCAGGGTGCTGCTTGTCTGCTCCATGTCGATGACTTTGCAGTAGAAATTTTTGCGACGTTATTGCAGAAGAATGTCAAATATGTAAAATTTGTTTAAATTGTTTTCGTTGATTCTGTATATAGAAGCTAAGGCTATTTGTTTACAATTTTGTGCCATGTGGGAATAGTACCCTTTGTGTGTGATCCTAAACCGTGCAGGAATAAAATGCCTCCAGCTTCTAAATGTTGAGCGCAATGTTTTTAACATTGTGAAAATACTTGGAATGGTAGATGAGCATGCCTGGTGTGCATATGGGGCAAAATATCAACATAGTTCCAGGCCGATTTCTGGAACCGTTTGCAGAGACGTTTAAATGTGCTAATGATAGGGGACCACGCCAGGCTTCAGACAGTCATAGACATTGGTGAATGAGAAAGCACATTTCTTGGAGAGGACTGCTAAACGTTACTGTTATGTATTGAGAGGCGGAATAAATAAAATGTGCAATACTATTGTGTTAGAAAAGCTGGGGGTAGACCAGCATAAATATTAGAATGTGGTGTAAGAGATTGAGAATCCTGCTCAAAACAAGACATGCGGAGTTATCGTGTTCCTGATAGACAAACAGTGTATAGGACTGACGGGGAATATGCTATGCTTTAGTAATTTACCAATACCGTTTCCTGATTTGGATTTAAAACCGAAAGAACTGACGATGCTGTAAATCAGGAACAAAAACAGAAGTTGCTGGAAAAGCTCAACAGGTCTGGCAGCATCTGTGAAGAAAAATCAGAGTCAACGTCTGGTAACCCTTCCTCAGAACCGGACCCGAAACGTTAAATCTGATTTTTTTTTTCTTCACAAATGCTGCCAGGCCTGATTTGGATTTGAGATAGTAGGAACTGCAGATGCTGGAGAATCCGAGACAACAAGGTGCAGGGCTGGATGAACACAGCAGGCCAAGCAGCATCATAGGAGCAGAGAGGCTGACGTTTCGGGCCTAGACCCTTCATCAGAAAAGGGGGAGGGGAAGGGGGTTTTGAAATAAATAGGGAGAGAGTGGGAGGCGGATAGAAGAGGGATAGAGGAGAGGATAGGTGGAGAGGAAACAAACAGGTCGAAGAGGCGGGGATGGAGCCAGTAAAGGTGAGTGTAGGT